TTAGTTGCCGAGCCTTTTCGGTAAGCTGCGTGCGACAGTTCTCACCTCGTGGATGCTCTTCCTGGCATGCTTCAGCAGCCGCCGCAATTGCACTCTCGAGATCTTCGCAAGCCACCTGGTTGCCAAACCATTCGCGTCCGCCCTCGCCCTGCTGTTTGTCCGCAATCAATTCGTCCGCCCGCTTCGCAAATTCAGTTTTTCATGTATCTGACCACTTCCACATGCTACGTTTAAATGTAATTTGTCCAGTGCTCAGCAGGACCCGCAGCTTCGCGACCGCTGCAGCGTGATCCACCCCACCACCGATATCATGTGTAGCCTCACTGTCTGTCACCGTCCCCAGAGCGCCAGCGTCGATGCAAAAATAATCAATTTGTCTTCGAACTCCACGTGTTCATGCGTCCACTGCTGATTGAAAGTCTTAGGGAAGAACGCCCCAACGATGGAAGCTGACTCAGAGCGAGCCCAAGATGCCATCCACTCGCCTCTTGGATTTTGGCGCCCCTCCCCGGGGTTCTCCAATGCAGTGGTCAACTACGCGATTCCCCGCTTTGCCCGCGACGGCGCCCGAGTCGCCTCCGGCAAGAAATGCAAACTTTGATATTCCAGCATCCACTTTGCAAGAAGATAGCACGCGGCACAGGCCCTCCACCTCCTCGCCCGGGCGGAACGCATTTGGCACGCACACGGAAACGATCCGTAGTCGGGACAGCCCGAGTGCAACGTCCAGCCAACACACTCTGTCGGACTTGGCCGCGAAGGAAATGACAGATGCAGCCCACCGTTTGCGAAGCAATATCACCACTCCATTCCTTCCTGACGCGCCCCCTGAGACGAGGAAAATATGGCCAGCTTCCACTCCAAAGCATTCATCTCGAACCTCTCTCCAAGTTTCGTTTCATAGCACCGCGCCCCATGCCTTCAAACACTCCACCTCCACAAGAAATTATGCGAAACGTTCTTCTGATTTCAACGACTGTACACTCTTACAATAAAGAAAGTTCCTCGCGTAGATCTCACGAATTTGCTCGCCGCCGTTGGAGAACTTTGCCAAAACAGGCCGGCAAATCGCCATCGACAAACTCGCACCCCCCCCCCCCCCCCCCCATCCACCATAACTCTTTCGATGCCCGTGCTCGCCACCAACAATGCGTGATGAACGCACGCCTGATGATGCCGTACTTCCACTGGCACATGGCTTGTTTGCCCGCGAATGGAGCGCGTTACCCCCACACCCGCTTTCCCCTCCATTTCTTCACGCTTTCCTCTATGGTGCCCTTGGCATCGCTCGCCTCGCCGATGGTCTGGAAATCGGCCCCGTCCAAGAGCCAGGCCACTTTTTTGAACCTTACCTTCACGAAGCCCCCGCCCCAGAAGATCTTCACGTCTTTCCTGTCGACGCCTTTGTCTTCGATCTGGTGATGTTTGGTCATACCTAATATATTGTCCCTCTCTCTCTGCTCAAAACTACGGTTGCTCTTAAACCACAAGTCTACACCATTCACTGTCTTGATGGACGACATGATTGGTTGAAAAGCCCCTCTTGGCAGCCACTGTCTCGAATTGTATGGCCCCGATTTTCGTAGGATCCGTGAAAATAAACACATTCGAAACTTTGTGCCTTTGTTGCCATCTTGCAGGAAAGTCTCGACGGTCTCGATCACCCTCTCTGCCTTCGAATCCTCCTCAAAAACTCCAACCACGATCTGAAGGCTGCGATCGTCTCCTCCTTCTCCTTCGTCCTGTTGACCCTTTCCGTGTGGGGGGGCATGGTCCTCTGAGTGTTTACCCATCGCCCCCCTCACCCTCTGCTCCACAACCTCCTCAAAAATGTTGCGCGCCTCATCCTCCTGAAGCTTGTTTTCAATGATCTGCTCAACTTTGTTTTTGGTAATGTACAACTCCTCAAAATCGCTCCGGAAGCCCTCCACCCCCATCTCCACCTCCTCCATCTTCTCCTGAACCTCCTCTGCTGCCCTCCTTGCGTCCTGCGCCTCGATCCTCGCCCGGTCTATCATGTCTTTGATGCCCGCCATCTCGGTCTTCATAGCGTTGTACTGTTTTTTCTGGTTGCGGGCAAAATCTTGAAAATAATCCGGGGCTTTATTCTTCTTCTTCCATTCCCGTATCTTCGAGCATCTCCTTCATCCCGTCCTTGCCTTTACGGCCTTCCTTCTTCTCTGGTGTTGACCCGGTCGCGGCTCCCATGCGTTTCGCCATACTCCCAAATATCCTGTGCACACTCTGGGTAAAGCAGAACAGATGGGTTACAAGTCAGAGCTCGGATTCTGTCAAAACCAACCTTTTAAGTGCCCGCATAATGCTCGCAGTGGACTGCCGTGACCGTCGTGGCAACGTCACTCGTTTTGCGCCTAGGGTTATGAACGTGCCTTTTTCTTCCATCTTCCACAGTTTCATCCACCTCGATCTTCATTGCCTTCCCCACTGTTGTAATATATGCCAGATCCCCCCCTCATCAGAACATGCGATTGCCCTGTACTTCTCTAGCTCGTCTTTCAGCACAACCATACTTGTAGTTCATATGAATGTTATGTCCTGATGTGAATGATCGGGGTGCTCTGCGAGGTACTGCTTCGTGCACCCCATTCGTTTTCCCGATCGCGCCCAACTATCGCCAAATTGTTCCGGGAAAAATCCGGCCGACAACATCCACTCGTTTTTCCAACAGTTCAACTTGGCCACAACCGTAGGGAACTCCGTCACACCCACTATGGCGTGGACGGCAACGGCCGTTACCGCAATGCGGGCATCAGCCCCAGGAAACCGTTGGAGAACACGTTCGATTCTGTCGCTGCTGCCGTTTCGAAGTTCTGTTCAAAACTGAATGCGGCGGCCTGCCTGGCGCGTATTTTTGCTCCCTTTTCCTCCTCCGCGGCGTCTTCCCCCTTCCCTGATCGTACCTTCTGCTCCCCCCAACTGTCTTGCGTCGTTCGTCATGTACCGCGTCTCGGAATTTATTCCCCAATCAGAGCTTGCATCTGTAAAGGTCCTAGCGGATTCATATGGTTAGGTTAGGTTTGCCGTCGATTTTCGCTGCACGCCCGGGTGCCCGGGCGCCCGGGGGCGCCCCGGTGCCCGGGTGCCTGGGGGGGCCCTATAGCCCTACAGCCCTATAGCCCTATAGCCCTATAGTCCAATAGCCCTAGAGCCCTATAGCCCTACAGCTCTATAGCTCTATAGCCCTATAGCCCGATAGCTCAATAGCCCTATAGCCCTATAGCCATATAGCCCTATAGCCTATAACCATATAGACCAATAGCCTATAGCCCTATAGCCCTATAGCCATGTAGCTCTATTACCCTATAGCCCAATAGCCCTATAGCCCATATAGCCCTATAGCCCTACAGCCCTAAAAAGATTATGATTGGGTTTTTTCTCCGGTATCATCTTCAACTATTTGCTCTATCTACTCTTTGGTCAACTACGCGTCGTCGAAGTCGTTACAGAGCCCTTGCACCTCCGTCTCAATCTCGCTGCTTTTCTCCTGAACCTCCACCGCTGCCCTCCTCGCGCCCCGTGTTTCGATACGTGTTTGGTCAGTCAGGCTTTCGACGCTGTTCATCACGTCCTTCATCATGTTGTTTATCCGCGGTTCGTAGTGTTTGAACCAAGGCGGCGCCTCCTCTGGTCTATCGTTGCTGCTTCCCTTGCCCATTGGTATCACCTCGATTTTTCCCACATCGTCGATATCCACGTCAGCAATCTCCTTCGTGTCTTTCGATTTCGGGCGTAGCCCGCATTTCTCTCGCGGGGCGAACTGCACTAAACTGAACTCAACTGACCGGTCGCGCCCGCTATACGATTGTGTTACTCTCGGCCGCAAAGGGCGCAACCTATGGCGCAACCGATGGGAGACGGTTATATTATCAGCCGCCGAGGGCGCAACCGATGGCGCAACCGACAGGAGACGGTTATGCTCTCAGCCTCCGAGGGCACGACCTATGGCGCAACCGACAAGAGACGCTTGTCATCTCGGCGGCCGACGGCACAACCTATGGCACAACCGATGGGAGACGGTTTTAGCATCGGCCGCCAAGGGCGCAACCTATGGCGCAACCGATAGGAGACGGCTTTGTTCTCGGCCGCCGAGTGCGCAACCTATGGCACAACCGAGAGGAAACGGATATATTTTCAGCCGCACAAGGCGCAACTGATGGTGCAACCGATCGGAGACGATTTTATTCTCGGCCGCCGAGGGCGCAACTCATGGCTCGATCGACAGGAGACGGATATATCATCAGCCGCCGCCGGCGCAACCTATGGCGCAACCGAGAGGAAGCGGTTATACTCTCGACCGCAAAGGGCGCAACCTATGGCGCAACCGATGGGGGGCGGTTTCATTCTCGGCCGCCGAAGGCGCAACCTATGGCGCAACCGACGACGGCGCAACCTATTGCGCAACCTCACAACTGATTTTCTGCCGCTGGCTCGAATCGAAACGGCTTCGGTGTCACAGTGCAAGAGAGGCCAACCACGAGGTATGACATTTGCCACGCCCCTCGGGTTGGGAAGACGCCCCTTCAACGTCTGCCGAACCCGCCCAAATGCGAACTCGTGCAATTCAGGTCGGAAACGCCGCCGCCACATGCACATGTGCCCGCCGAGGCGGGCCTGGAGCGGAGCTACCCGCATCCAGGGTGGGAGCGGGGCTGCCCGCGCCCCAGTGCTCTCAGCGCCCGTAGCCGATGATGCCGTCCTGCGCCCATCGTGTCGCAACGGCGCGTCGCCGGCTCAAGCCGTCGTGCCGGTGGCGACCCGCAGCGCCAGCTTCGACCGTCCGCTGGCCAGAACGCAGCTCGCCCTGCGTAAGCATTCCGTCATCTCGCGCACTGCCAAGTGCTTCGTTCCCATGTCAGCTGGGTTGTCGCTCCCTGGCACCTTCTCGATGACCAGCTCCCGCTTGGCCACGGCCTCCTGCACCCGGAGGGTCTGGGTGTGGAGGTGCCTCACCTTCCCAACGCCACGTCGGGAAGCAATGCCCTTGCTCGAGCTGGCGTCTACGCGCACACGCGGCTTCAGGACCTTGAACAGATCAGCCGCCATGGCAACGGTGCCAATCGCGCGGCTCGCACTCTCGGTCAAGGCGTAGAACTCCGCCTCGCCAGAGCTCGTGGCCACGACGTCCTGCGTCGTGCTGCTGGTCGTGATCAGGTGCTGCCCCAAAATGGTGTACGACGATGAAGTCGAGCGCGGGGTCTTCCGACACCCAGCCCAATCACTGTCGCTGAACACGTCCACGACCGTCTGGTCAGCCTGCCGCCGGCACACCACCAGGCAGCGAGGCGCTCCCTTCAGGAAACGCCCAAGGCGTTTGAGCGCCTGCATGTCCTTCTGACGCGGCGCCTGCATGCGCCGGGCGAGCTCCTTGCACGCGAACTGCAGTTCGCAGCGGTCCTGTGCCAGGTAACTCGCACGCATGGCCCAAGATATGTAATTAGACCTGGCCTCGGGATCAAGCTCTCGTCCGTCATCATCGTCGTCGTCGCCGGTCGGCTTGACGCCCGGCGTCGCAGCGGCCTTCGACCGCTCCTCGCCCAGACCCAGCTGCTGATACAAGATCTCGGCGTGCCGCGGGTCGGCTTCCAGCTCGACCCGCTCGCCGACCTCCGAGCCGAGGGGGGGCCACCGCACGATCCTGTTCAAAGAAGTGGCCTCGCCCACGTCGCCGTGCTCTGGGTTCGGACCCAACGTGGCAGTATGCTTCACCAGGAGGCGCTTGCCGAGCTCGCCCCGGAACTCCGCGCAGTGCAACCTCTTACCACTCAAGGGGAAGTCGTCGCCCCACCGCACGCCCCGAACAACGGAGTCGCCAGACCTACGGCAGCCCAAGCAGACGCTAAACTTCCCCAAGGTCACGCCCATGACGTTCATGGTGGATTCGGTCCTTCCTGTCGAAAGACGCGCCTGCATCCCTCAAGCCATACATGGCCTTCAGCAGCCTGTAGACCTGGCCGCCGATCCTCACGAAAACCACCCGGTTCAAGGGCGAATGGAGATGTGCACGTGAAATGTCCAACAACATCAACACCTCCTCATCGTTAAGATTCTCAGGCCTCGGACCCGTCATGAGCAAGCTGAGCTGCAGACGAAAAGCCTCATACGGAGGGGTCGCAGCGAACGTCGCTGCCCAATCGTCCGCGTCGATGGTCGTCCGTCTGCGCGTCTCCCGTGCCACGAGCCGCGACCGATAGTTCGGTCGAGAGGGGTCGCCCTTGTCGATGTCGACCCAATCAGTTGGAATCGGAGGTGAACCAGTCTCCTGTATGCACGTCTCGTGGTCACTCAACTCCAAAACCTTCAACTCCTCAATGTACCTCATCTCCTCTGCCCTTGCGCTTCGCACTCGCTCAGGATCTAATGGGAGCCCCGTGCATCGGTCACGGAATACTTTCTCCTCCTCCGTCGTCGCCGGCCTCGCCAAGAGCTCCGGCTCCTCCAGGACAGGCCCGGCCTCCACCGCAGAGATCGTCAGCTCGCGGTCGTTGCCGAGCATCCTCTCCGCCGCGCCGCCTCCAGCAGCGCGCGTCGAGCTCCTCAAAGCTCGAAGGATCTCCGCCACCAAGAGGGGCGGATACTTCTCGCACGTCTTCGCCCGGGCCCCGAGCGACTGCACGTGCTCGCGCCCTCCATGGCACCGTCGCGCCGCGGCTCGAGCGATGAACGGGTCGTTCGTGATGAACCAGGTCTCCCTACGAGCTGGCCCCACCTGGCCAGATCCATCCGCCGAAACCTGGCCGAAGAGGCACTGGTCGCAGCGCACGCGCTGCATACCACTCGTCGCCAACATCTCGACGATGCACTCCTCGCTCCACGAGGCTGCCTCCCAGGGGAGTTCGAAGAGCACCCGGCCGCCCCTGGCAATCTGCTGCCGCGCCAACGCGCACGCGAACTCGAGGTGCTTGCGGTCCGTCTCCAACAACTCCTGCAACCTCCGAGGGTGCGCCGATAGCTCGTGAAGCTGAAATGGGCCCAACCACATTGGACCGAGGACAAGCAAGTACGGCTTCTCCAAGTCCAGCCGCCCCTGCGCCTCATGCTGCTCGCCGTCGCGCCCCAGGTCCCAGCCCAAGCGCAAATCCATGGCCACGCCAGCGTGCAAGCCGAAGGCGCCGGCCTTGCGCTGCGGGCGCGCCAGAGAATACGCCTCCACGAGCGCCACGGCGTCCGCATGCAGACCGCTTGCGGCCACCATCGCAGTGTCCATGTCGCCCTCCGCACCGGGCGCCTGGATCTCGATCTGCCTCTTCCTACTCGGCGGACTCGTGTCCATCTCAGAACCGTCGCGGTCCGCCAGGGTTGGGCCCTGGGCAGGCGGCGCCGCCGCGCCAGACGCCCCTGCCGCAGCAGGAACTCCTGAGGCCACCGCCGGAGCCGCTGTAGCCGCCACAGCCGCTGCAGTCGCTCTCGTGCCCCCCGCGCCCGAGGCCGCCGCCGGAGCCGCTGTAGCCGCCGTAGCCGCTGTAGTCGCTCCCGTGCCTCCCGCGCCCGAGGATGAAGCCGCCGCCGGAGCCGCTGTAGCCGCCGTAGCTGCTGTAGTCGCTCCCGCGCCCTCCTCGCGCGCCTCCTGGGCCTGCCCCGCAGACATAGCCCTCCAAAAGGCCTTCATGAGCCGCTGCCGGCCCGCTTCTGTCTTGGCCAATTCGGTCTCCAGGCGCATCCTGCAATCCTCGGAATGCATCTGCGCCCGCTAATTCTCGGCGATCGCCCTGCAGCCAGGGCATCCCTGCGCGAACCCATGCTTCACGAAGTCCTTCTTCAAGAGGTAAGCCCGGCGGGTCGCCGTAGGCGCCTCCTCGGCATCCACCGCCGGAGCTGGCAAGTCAGGTAAAATGACTCGCGTTGGAGCCCTCAAGCTCCGTGGCCCGCCCCACGGACGAGCAGTGACGGTGTTCAGGAACGCCACGTCGTAACGCTCCGTCGCCTCGCGCCTTCGCGCCGCCCTCACTTTGCGCATGCTCCTGGATGTGCCTACGTAGAGCTCGTCGCTCCGATCAGGCAGGCCCAAGAACACGCCATCCTCCCAGCGAGGCTCGACCCGGGCCGGAGCCTTGGTCACACCTGGGATCATGAAGAGCACCTTCTCTCCAAAAGCCGGAAGGGCTCTAGCGAAACCGCGCCCCTTGCGAAGCTCGAAGGCCGTCTTGCCATCGGCCCCGCGGCGCACGCGATTGATCATCGCAACCGAATACTTCACCAACCAAGGGATAATGGGGTGCTGTCCGTCGAAGCTCTGGCCGTACCGCACCGTCAGGCACGCCAGATTGGTCCGCACGGCGTCTTTCACCTCGCGCACGGCGGCCTCTGCGAGGCCGTTGCCCTGCGAGTCGTACCCGGCGGACTCCTCCAGCTTCACGCGCACGCCCTCGAGCTTGAGCGCCGCCGCAACCGACGTCTTCAGCGCCACAATGGACGCCTCGCCGTCGCTCCTGAGGATACCCTCGTCGAAGCCGCTGCCCACGACATCGCTCTTCAGCTCTTTCACCGCGTACTCGTCGGCCCCCTTCGCTGGGACCACTGCGGCTCCTAGCCAACGATCCCCTGTGCACCTGCTGCACAGTAGGGGCGCGTTCGGCTGGCCCTGGGCGTCGTCACCCCTGTCGTTCAAGTAGCCGTAGTCGCAACCTACCACCGGGATGCTGACCTCTGGGCCGCCAGAGGTGTGGCGGTGCATCCGGCCACGCCCGACGCAGCACTCCCGGCACCAGGTGCGGAAGACCGCGTGGCCACCGGCGATGTGCTCCTCACGCTCAGCCGCCGTCGGCCGAGTGGGAGCCACCAACTTCTTGACTGGTGCTCCCTCCTCAGCCTCCGTCCCAACATCCGCGTCGAGAGGGTAAATCCCTCGGCCCTCCATCGACGCGACCTCGGACAGCTCCTGCGCCGAGGTGAACGGCAAGTACTCGTGTGGCTTCAGGCGCACCCTCAAGTACCAGGCCCGCCCCTTCCGCACGAGGTTGATGCGAGTCCCGGAGGCTCTCCGGAGGATGTAGGCCCCGCCACCGTCAGCAGGGAACACCGTCTCCCACTGGCACCTGCTCAGGTCGTCCGTCGCCAACAACGCCTTGGCGATGTCCATGACGCGGAAACGCACGACGAGGTTGACCGCCTGGCCGTGGGCGTCGCCCGCCTCCAGCCCGAGGATCCGCGCGCCCTGGCCATACAGCCGGCCGCCCCCAGCTGCCACGTAGTACCCCCCGCTCTGGCTGAGCCTCGTCGGGTGGAGGGGGCACGAGCCAGCTCCGACGCCTACCGGGAGGCAGCTGACCTCCGCGCCAGAATCCACCTCGATGTCGAGCCACTCGCCTGGCTCGACGCGCGGCCCCCCCACGGCGTTCAAAGCGGGGCTACCCGCATCCGAAGCCGATGGGCCAGGGAGCGGGGCTACCCGCGTCCCTCCCGTACTCTTCAGGCCGCCCTCGGTGTCAACGCCGACGGCGCCGATGTCGAAGTAGCCCGCAACCGCTGCTACCTCCGCGGCTTCCGCGTTTCCGCCGTCTTCCACCGAGTGGACCTTCGGCCTGGGGCACTGGGCGGCTAGGTGCCCGGGCTGGCCGCAGTTGTAGCACGCCCGGTCCTTGCCCTTCCCTCTACCTTTCGGCCCTCCTCCTCCTCGCCCTTGCTGCTGCTGCTGCTGAGGAAGATGGGGGTGAGGTTGACGATGTGGTTGATGATGTTCTGCGCCTCCTGGCGCTTTGCACGCACTTGCGATGTGGCCAGGTTTGCCACAGTTGTTGCAGGTCTTGTCCTTGCGCGGGCAGTCCGCCCTCGTGTGCGATGTTGCGCCGCCCCTTGGACATGCGTGCTGCTGCTGGTGCTGGCCGCCGCGGCCCGTGCCCCTGGCACCACCGCCAGGCCTGCCACGACCGTCTCCCTTGGCGACGGCACCGATGTCCATCGGCACCGGCTGAGCCTGCGCAATGGCGATCGACCTGCTGATGGCTACGACTTCCGCCCGGAAATCGATCCACCTCGTCAGCTGGTCCACCCTCATCAAGAGGTGGGCCTTGAGAAGCGATTCGGGGAGACGTAGCAAGAACGTCCCGATCTTGACCTCGTCGTCGAGGGTCTTCTTCGAGTCCCGCTCATAAACGGCGATCTCACGTTCCCACGCCGCGATGCGCTCAGGGATGTCACCCTGCAGCGAGAAGGAAAGGACGTTCATCAATTGCCCAGCGAATCGCGTCCGCATCTTGGGCTCGTACTCCTCCACTAGCTTCCGCCATGCTTCCAGCCCCTCGTTGTCCCCCGCGAGGAGAACGATGTTGAGCGCCGCACCTTTGCACAGCATGAGCAACATCCAATAGAGCTGCGCACTGGCTTGAGCGTCCGTTTGATCAGTCAGTGTCACGTTTGGCACTGGATCGGTCGAGTCGGCAGCCGACTTCATCAACGACGCGAGCCGTGGGACTGCCGCCCCAGCGTAGCCCCGGAAGACAGCGCTCCAGTCCCGCCACGCGGTCATCTCCCCGGAGAAGTCGCTGGGCTTGCCTAGCAGCCTGGTGTCCACCCCCACGCTCGCAGAGGCCTGCGCCCTCGGCGCCTGACCTCCTGCGCCCCCAGAAGCGGCAACCCCGCGGCCTGCTGCCGCCTCCGTCCGCGCCTGCTGCAACTCACTTTCCAGCTGCTGCTGGCGCGCCTGCAGCTGCCGCACTGTCTCAGCCATCTGTTGCATGGCTGCCTCCATGGCTCCTACTGGAACCTGTCCTCAACCTCCTCCTCGGTCTCGTCCCACGCGGGGCTACCCGCAGCGGGATCGTCGACCGCCTCCTCCTGCGCAGGGCTACCCGCAGCAGGATCCTCCCGCGCGGGGCTACCCGCAGCGGGGTGGTCTGACGCGTCCTCTCGCGCGGTGCTACCCGCAGCGAGGTCGCGCGCAGCCCGGCGCGCTCTCCTCTCCCGCAGCCGCCGCAGCGTCGCTGCCGCGCGCCGCTGCTCGCCCCTCGCCTCCCGCGAGTCTCGGCGAGCCTTTGAGCGCTTCCCGCGCCTGTTGCGTTTACGCCGTGGAGCCATCTGGCTCCGCTACCATCACAACTGATATTCTGCCGCTGGCTCGAATCGAAACGGCTTCGGTGTCACAGCGCAAGAGATGCCAACCACGAGGTATGACATTTGCCACAACCGACACGAGACAGCTTTATTCTCGGCCGCCGAAAGAGCAATCTATGGCGCAACCGACAGGAAAAGGTTGTATTCCGACCGCAGAAGGCGCAACCTATGGCGCAACCGATGGGAGACGGTTGTAACATCGGCCGCCAAGGGCGCAACCTATGGCGCAACCGATAGGAGACGGTAATATTCTCAGCCGCCGACGGCGCAACCCATGGCGCAACCGACAGGAGACGGTTATACTCTCGGCCACAAAAGGCGCATCCTATGGCGCAACCGATGGGCAACGGTTTCATTCTCGGCTGCCGAGGGCACAACCTGTGGCGCAACCGACGGGAGACGATTTCATTCTCGGCAGCCGACGGCGCAGACTGAGGCGCAACCGATAGGAGACGGATGTATCGCCGCCAGGGGCGCAACCTATGGTGCATCCTATGGGAGGCGTTTTTTACCGGCCACTGAGGGCGCAACTTATGGCGCAACCTAAGGCACAACCTATGGCCTGTGCCGCCAGCCCCAGAGATAAACGATGCGGATCATGCAACGCACCGCGCAAGCCAAGCATCCACGACATGCGGTATATTCCATCAACTTGCAACTGCATCATTGCAGATTTCAACGCTTGGCGTCACCTCCTCCTCCTCCTCCTCATCATCATCATCCTCCTCCTCCTCCTCCTCCTCCTCCTCCTCCTCCTCCTCCTCCTCCTCCTCCTCCTCCTCCTCCTCCTACTCTCCCTACCACCTCCTCTCTCGTGCCCCTCTCACTTCTCCTGCCTTCTCCGCCCTCCGTTCCTTTTGCTTATGAATAACTCCTCATTGTCGTACCCCGAGGCCGGTCGGAAGCGCGGGCCGGGCGTTTCGCCTGAGACTTCCTGACAACTTCTGAGCCTGAAGCTTACAAACTGGCAACAGTTTCGCAAATGGAGGACGGGTCGTTTTCAAAATGTGGCGCTCGCCTCAGCGCCGCGCACATTGCGTCTCAAAATGTGCAAGCAAGCGTTTCACGGAGTGAAGGCGCGTCGTTTTCAAAATGTGGCTCTCCCCGTAGCGCCGCGCACACTCGTATTAAAACATGCAGCGGTTTCACGGATTGAGGGCGGGTCGTCTGTAAAATGTGACTATCGTCTCAGCGCCGCGCTCATTCGTCTTACAATTTTGGAAGAGCTTCACGGATTGAGGGCGGGTTGTTTTCAAAATGTGGCTCTCGACGTAGCGCCGCGCACACTCGTTTTATTGCAGCAGGAGCTTCACGGATTGAGGGCCGGTCGTTTTCAAAAAGTGGCTCTCTCCTCAGCGCCGCGCGCATTCGGTTGAAACAATTGCGAGATCTTCACGGTTTGAGGGCGGTGCGTTGTCAAAATGTTGCTCTCGCCTTGGCGGCGCGCACATTCGTTTTACCAAAGTGCAAGAGTTTCGCGGATTACCATGGTAAAGTTTCCAGATGTTTTTTCCCGAACGACTCAGGATCGTCAGGGCGCAACAATTACGTTGATTCCTGGTGCTGAAGTCCTACGAAAGGTATTCTGGCGCGTTTCAGGATTGTCAAGACGCAACGTGAAGTTGTCTCGTGACGTTGAAATCCTGAGAATGGTGTTGCCCCGCTGCAGGATTTTCACACGGCTGTCTCCCAACGGGGCACTTCCCTCAGTGGAAGTGAATCCTTGTGTATGGGGCCTATGAAAGGGAAGCTTGGAGAGAGGGTATATCCCGGCATTGTTGATGAGTCTTCGGATTACACTGACCCTCCTCCTCCTCCTCCTGCTCTTTCTCCTCCCCCTCCTCATCATACGCATACAACCTCCCCCCTCCTCCCTCCCCCTGCCCCTTCCTTCTCCTCCTATTTCCTCCTCCTCCTCCTCCTCCTCCCTCCTCCTCCTCCTCCTCCTCCTCCTCCTCCTCCCCCATGCCTCCTCCTCCTCCTCCTCTTCTCCCTCCTCCTCCTCCTCCTCCTCCTCCTCCTCCTCCTCCTCCTCCTCCTCCCCCTCCTCCCCCTCCTCCTCCTCCTCCTCCTCCCCCTCCTGGGATGGCCAGGGGGGAAAGCCCGCCCGATGGTCGCCTCGCACAGGCAGAGGACGACCGCTTGCGCCGCGCTGGACTTCATTGGTGCGGGCGCCGCGGGCGGCACCAGCAGCGCGTGGCCCCTGCGGGGCGACGCCCGCGGACCGCCGGCGCCGGCCCCCGGCCGAGGCCCGCCGTGTGCCCGGGCTCGGTGCCCCGCGCCCCTCTTCGAGCGGGGGATCGGCTGCAGAACGGGTTCGCCCCAGAGCTGGCCTTGACGCGACTCGGCGAAGCATGCACAGGCTTGGCTTCCCCCAGACTTGACGGTTCGACGACTCTGCCCCACAAAAAAACGATGTTCCACGACTCGACGAGGTAGAGGATCGACTACAGAACGGATGTTCTACGACTCTACGACAGCTGTACAGAATGTTCGGGACACCTACGAACATGTTACGCGTTGTCATGGACTCGACAGAAAAATCAATTGGGTAAATCAATTCTGTAGTCGATCCTCCACTCGACCTCTGACCACGCCAGACGGGTAGACACCACATCCTGGACCCAGGACGGGTGTCTACTGGGTGGCGACATCCGAACCCTACCTCCACCAACCATCTACTCTCCCGAATCGATGGGAGGCGCGGGAAGGGTCTGGACTTCGCCACGTGTTCGGCGAATTCCGAACCCCACTCCCGCCAACCATCAGGCTGCCCGAATCGCCGATCGGCGAGGCTAGGGCTCGAACTTCGCCGCCGAGCTGCGCCTCCCTGGCGTCCCTGGCCCCCCGTGGATCGGCGAGGGCAGGGCTCGAACTTTGCCGCCGAGCTGCGCTTCCCCGGCCTCCCTGGCCCCCCGTGGGGAGGCGAGGGCAGGGCTCGGACTGCGCCGCCAACCTCCCTGGTCGGGGGGAGGCATGCAAGAGTGGGGCGCCAGGGCGGAGGTGGGGCTGGAGGGAGATCGCTCGAAGCAGCCGGTGCAGGCAGGACATGTGCGTATCCAGCCGGGTTATGTTCCCGAACCCCACCTTGGGAGTTAACCCCCCTCTACGAAGAGCTCCGACATGGGGCCGCGAAGATCGGGGATCTATACTGACCCGGGTCAGCCCAGACCCGGGTCAGTCAAGCTCTGCAAGATCCTGCAACAAGGGCTCCCAACTTCGCGTTTCGCGCTCCGGGAAGCGCGAAGCGCGAATAACTTCGCGCTCTCGCGCCGCCCCCCCAAAGGGAGAAAAGGAGGACGAGGAGGAGGGGGAGAAGGAACGAGGACCGCGAAGCGCGAAGCGCGAATAACTTCGCGCCCTCGTGGGAGCCCTTGCTGCAAGATCCTGCAGGATCCTGCAGGATCCTGCACCCAAGACCGGGTCGGTGCACCCCTGGCCATGCAGGGCCCGGGCAAGATCCGGCGCTCGGGCCGACCCCCGTCCCGAGGCTCCCGGAGGTCCCCTCCCGAAGGATCCCTCCCTGAGGTCCTCCTCTTCCTCCTCCTCCTCCTCCTCCTCCTCCTCCTCCTCCTCCTCCTCATCATCATCATCATCATCATCATCATCATCATCATCATCATCATCATCATCATCATCATCATCCTCATCCTCATCCTCATCCTCATCCTCATCCTCATCATCATCATCATCAGCAGCAGCAGCATCATCATCATCATCATCAGCATCATCGTCATCATCATCATCATCACCACCACCATCATCGTCATCATCATCATCATCATCATCATCACCACCACCACCACCATCATCATCATCATCATCATCATCGTCCTCCTCTACGAGCCCCCGACCTGGGGTCCCGAAAAAGTCCGTTCGAGGCGTGGCCAAGGAGCCGCAGGCCACCGAGCCGGGGAGCCCGAAAGGGACCCCAGCCAGGCGCGCGGGCGGCTGACTCTCTGGAGGGCTGGAGTGTACGAAATGGCTCTGCAGGTGACGGCCGTGGGAGGAGGGGGGGAGGAGGACAACGTGGAGGAGGAGGAGGAGGAGGAGGAGAATATGGAGTGGCATATCTTGTTTTGCTGAACACATTCGTGCTGGCAGGATCTTGTGGGCCCCCCCCCATGCGAAACTGGGAACCGGCGGTTCACCGTCAACCTTGCTTACCACCGGGAACTCGTAGAGCTTCCTTGCGATATACATCAATCGCGTGCGGGCGCGGCAATCTCGCACTCGGCGCGCGCAGGGTTTCATAGGGGACGTGGAGGAAAAGAAGAAGTGAGGAGAAGAAGGTGGAGGACGCTAAGGAAGAGGAGGAGGAGGAGGAGAAGACGGAGCAGGAGAGGGAGAATGAGCGGAAGAAGGAGGGAGAGAAAATGGCGAGCAGGAGAAGCGGAAAGATCGAGGGGGATGATCATGATGATGAGGAGGAGGAGGAGGACGAGCAGGAGAAGAGGAGGAGGACGAGAAGGAGGAGAAGGAAAAGGAGGAGAAGGAGCAGATGAAAGCGAAAGAGAAGGAGAAGGAGGAGTAGGAGGAGAAAGAAGAGGAAGAGAAGGAGAAGAGAAGAAGGAGCAGATGAAGGCGAAAGAGAAGGAGAAGGATGATAATAAGGAGTAAGACGAGGAGAAGGAGGAGCAGAAGGAGGAGGCGAAGGGGAGGAGGCAGAGGAGGAGGGGAAGTGGAAGAAGGAGAAGGAGAAGAAGAAGCAAAGCAGGAGGAGGAGAGAAACGAGGGGACGTCTCGATACCGTAGGCGAATCGACTTGGTCACCTTCTGCTTCGACATGTTTGTCGGCTCAAAAGTCAGCCTACAGCTCGGATCAAATAGAAAAAACTATCAGTATCTCCTAAAACAAATTTAAAAGAGTACGAATAGTTGTTTGGTTCCACCTTTGGCAGACCGGGTTCAGGCATCTAGATACTTGAGACGAGCGTTCCTCTTGATTCCTTTTGGTGTGATGAACAGCTCTGTAGCTCGATTTCAGTTAAGAAGTGCATAACCGTCTCAAAAAATGGCACAGCACAAATAGTTGTGATTGGTTCTAGCTCTGGTGGTGAACCGAGTTCGGTCATCTAGATACTTGAGACTAGCGTTCCAGATGATGCTCTTTCGATCGTTGTGCCGAACAGCTCTGCACCTGATCTGCACCTCGAGTTAAATCCATAAAATCATCGTCACCTGAAGAGCAGAGCAGAGTACGGATAGCTGCTTGGTTCTAGCTCTGGTTGTGGACCGAATTCGGCCATCTGAAACTTGAGACTAGCGCTGTCGATGGTTTTCGTTCGATTGCTGTGCTAAAAACCACTGTAGTTCATCTGCAGCTCGAGTTAAGGTAAGACAATCATAATCATCAAAAACAATAGCAGATTACGAACAGTTATGTGGTCTTACCTCTGGTAGTGGACCGAGTTCGGCCATCTAGATACTTGAGACTAGCGCGCATGATGATTCTATATGAACTAGGTGTGCCTGTCAGCTCTGTAAATCATCTACAGCTCGAGTTAAGTTCAGAAAAAAACGACAGCACCTATGAAGATAACACTGAACAGCAGATCCCGCCTCAGTGCTGTTTGGCAATAATATCTACCCGATAGAATTGAGATCAAGATGGCGAGCGAAAAATAAGATCGAATATGGAGGGGAGATGTGAGAGCCCTAACGACCTTTCAATGTTCGAGAAAACCATTTTAAACACGCCAGAAAAAGACAAACAGTGCTTCGATATGTTTCGGGCCAACTAGCCCCCCAGCGCGCCGGAATGACTCTCTAGCTTCGCCGCTTCGCTCTTAGGGGTGCTCAGCGAGTCACGTGTTGCGCGGCTCGGTGGAGAGAGGGGGCCCCCCTCCGTTGGGGGACTGGCAGACGCCGTGGGGATTGAACTGTTTATCTTCTAGACAACACTTGTAGGCTTCTGTCTCTAACGTTCTCTTACGCGCCGTGGTCGAGATCATTTAATGGTTGTTGCGACTGTCGCCCAGGGCTGCGCGTGGATGCCCCCCCTCGTCTGAGGGGCCCTCGTGGAGTTTCCTGCCCCTTAACGGGCAATGGCCGCGTCGCATGCTGCGCGCGCCACTTTGGATCGCCGCGAATTCGGACGAGGGGGTCGCGCTCCGACCGCCGTCCTCGGGGCTCGCCTTCCCGATCTCCCCGCCCTCTTGCGCGATGCCCCTGAAGGTGGATTTTTGCCCCCATGGGGCCCGGGCCCGCGAGGCCCCGGCGGGCTGGGGCAGCGCGCTGAAGCGGTGGCGCACTGCGCCTAAGAAGGTCCCCCCCCCCCCCGCTCTTTGCCCAATGCTGGCCGCGGTAACGTTGGAGGCGTTCCTGCCATCGCTGATCGGGCAGCCTTCGGGGCTCGGAAGTTCCATCGAACGCAATGAGACCCATAGCCTGTGGCAGTTTTTTCGGTGGATTCGGCCAGCACTGTTCTTGAGGTGCCCTGCATGGGCCCAAATGTTGCTCGGAAGGTCAAGTCCCCTCGGTCACCGTCGGCAGTCGCAAGAATCAAACCGACGCTTCAGCCCGAGGGAGCGGCCGTGCCATCAGGGAAGGAGAAATGATTGGAAGGCGCTCGCTCGGCGGCGATTGCTGCTGCTGCGAGGGACGAGGGAGTTTCTGCCTCGCTTGGGTTTTACCCGCCCTTCTCCCCTGCCTCCCCCCTCCTCACATGCCCCCCTTCTCCCCCCCTGATTTGCTGCTGAGGATTGCAGCTGCCAAGGCCCTCCGCAGAAGGCGGGGGCGTTCGGCTCATCGCAGGCGCGTGTCTGTGCAACTGGCTGGCCTTTTTGGCCAGCGCCCCCTGCCCCCCCCCCCGACCGAGTGAGTGCAGACTGACCTGCGCCGTTGGTTTGCGCTCGCCGTCGCCAACTCCTGACGGGGGCCAGGTTGATGGATTTTCCCCACATGTTTCGTGGGGTTCTGGTTCCCCACATGTTTCGTGGGGTTCTGGTTTTCTTCCCTGCCGCGGCGCACCCGCGTCTCCTCACCTCCCCTCCTCCTCTTTCTTCACTGCCGCGCCGCACCCGCGACACTCACACCTCACCTCTCTCTCCTTCTCACACAGCGCAGCACAGCACAGCACAGCACAACAGCACAGCACAGCACAGCACAGCACAGCACAGCACAGCACAGCACAGCACAGCACAGCACAGCACAGCACAGCACAGCACAGCACAGCACAGCACAGCACATGCACAGCAGCGTAAAGGGTGCGTATGGGGCTGGTCTCTCACGGCGGCCGCTATCCGTGACGGTCGTCCAGGGCACAGCAGGCATGGCATATTCTTGACACCATGGGGGGTGCGCAGGGGGTGGTTTCTCACCGCGGCCGCTACCGTGACAGTCGTCCAGGGCACAGCAGGCATGGCATATTCTCGACACCATAGG